TGTTATCTATTGGTTTTAGGTCCCCAGGGACAGAGGCAGCCAGCTTGGCTCTAAACCAGCTCTGCTACCGACCTGCTTTACTTGATCACCCACCACCTGTTTCCTCACCTGTTACATACAGATGAAAAGGTTTGGAAAGCAGCATCTTGCTCAGGGGTCATTTGGGACTGAAAGGATGGGTTTGTGATGCAATGTGGTGACAGCAGGCATTTGGGTGAGTTCTCAGGTGGCTCTCAGGCCTAAGCTCCGCACTCACTTTTGTCCCGCAAGACAGTGGGCTGCTTGCAGGCTTAGGAGCCTGTCTCGGGCATCTCTGGGGACTCAGAGGTCTCCATCTACTCCCTGAGAGTTACATGGTGTTGGTGTGACCAGAGGAGGTGCCAGGAGCCACCCCCTTGGGCCATGATTTTGGTAGGAGGTTGTTATCGTGTTCTTGGCAGCTCAGACCTTGGTAAGGGACCAGGAGAGTGAGGGCAGGGGCTGGAGTGACAAGTTGGACTCAGGGCATAGAAAGGCTGGTTTTGAGTCTCTTGGCTTAGATCCTGGGCCCTGGCTTTGAGGCTGGGCCAAATGAGGACCTCGGAAATAAAAACACTTCTGCAGTGCTCCTGTAAGTGCAATGGCTTCAGATCATAGACTTCAGTGCAGCACAAATGCTACATGGCAGCTTAGTGTTCCAATGATTCTACAAATCATATTCTCAGGAATGTGGAGATTTAGGTCTGTCATGGAAAAGGGCACACAACCTCTAGAGAGGCTAGGGTGGTGTCCCAGGGCCGCAGGCTCCAGGAGCACACGACAGGGCCATGCCAGGCTCCCCCACCCTGGCCCTTGCACAGTGGAAAAACGTGGAATAAACGCAGCAACAGAGTTTATAAATATATAACTATATTTATTTTGAATATTAAATAGTTTTTAAATTACAAGCAATTTATTGAATCACACTATGCATCAATATACAGTAAAAATCTTACAATTTAAAAATGTACACAATTTAAACTGAAAGTTCATTAACTGTTATATTGCCGTGAACCCCTTTCGACTGTGTGAAAGTACAACAGGGAGACCTGGCAGGTGTGACCGCCCCTAGGTCCTCATCTGCAGACAGAATTAAGCAGTGGGCACACACCAGTGCCAGTGGCAAGACCCAGCTGCACACGTGCAAACTTGGACGCTCAAACAGCACATATTCAAGCATTCAAACTGATCTTAACAGGTTGTTGGTAGTTCAATACTGTCAACACGTCTTTAAGAATTTATTTATATGTTAAAGAGAATTTTCTTTTTTCATAGCCAAGACTTGAGCCAACCCCATTACTACTTAGGAATATTGTTTTGAGATTTAAATCTGAAGTAACTGTGTATGCCCATTCTTATTTTAAGGCTACTTCTCATAAGGCTAATATTTTGAAGCCCCTGCAACTGAAGCCCAACACGTGGAGTCTAATCCTTGGTTCACTTCTGAATTTTCAGATGACGGCTGAGTAAAACTGGGAGTTGTCTCCCATCTCCCTGGGCCCTCAGGACAGACATGCAATAGGTCACTAACTCTACAAATATCCTATGGGAAATAAGAATAAAAAGCAGCAAGACAAGAGACTTTTCTTAAATGAACCCACCTCTGGAGAAACAATCACACCTGTCCATTTAAAAATAGACCAGACGCTGCATTTTCACTTCGGTGTGGCTGAGCTTCTGTCACCCTCACCCAGAGCCTCGGTCCAAGTCTCAGGCTTTGGGAGCACTTTTTCTACATTTCTCTTTCTGGCTTATGACAGGGTCATTTGATAACACAAATTAGCATCTAGCTAGGAAGGAAATGAAGGCTAGATTACTTTTTATTATAGGATTTAAAGTATACAAACTCCACCAAAGTAAGACGAATTAAAATCTGATAGATTCTGTCTGGACTGCTACCAAAAGGAGGCCAGGAAATATCATTGTGAACCAGGTATTATAAACCTCCCCCCATATTACCTAGAGAGTGCCATCAATTTATGTCATTGTATAACTTATTAGAATAAGTACGTTTTGAAAACCTACTACTGGTAACCAACTTATTACTAAAAAAAAAAAAAAAAAAAAAAAAAA